CCAATAATGAAAAAAAACTGTAATTCAGTTGTTAATTAACAGATTCAAGTGTTTCTTTGACAATTTAGGAGCACTTAAATAGTACCTAATTTCTATCCAGAAACATTTCAGCCTTTAACGGTCTAAGCCTCTAACACCCCCAATAAGTAAACGTGAATCCAGGAATTTCCTAATATTGAACAAATATCTGCAATTCAGTTAATAATTAACTGATTCAATTTTTTCTTTGACTATTTAGGAGCACCTTAAAAAGCATATTATCTAAATTTTGATACCTACCAAAGAAAAATATAAAAAAATATTTTTCACTACAAGGGACTACTATATTTCATATAAACTTAGCAATCCCTTCGTTTTTTTCCACAATGGGATTGCTAGGTTCATTGACCTAATATTCTGGGAAATCAATAAATAATACAACCCCATATAATTTCAAATGTGGGGAGATACTTTGGAGGTACCTATAGGTATATGTATTATTGACTTTACATTTATAAATAATTTTACATGTTTGTATAGACTCTACGCTTTAATAATAGGTATATATTTCTAAAATCTTAACTCTACTGTAGTTAATAAAAATAAAAGTCCACAACCATTCACTAAATACAAATACATTTAATTTAATTTATTTTTATTATTATCAGCTGATTACACCAGATGTTCCGCGCGCCCGCCGCGTACACAAACCCTTCAACTACTCGTGCTACTCCTCTCCTACGCGATCATGTTAACCGATCCCGATCATAGCCGATCGCGTTCGTGAGTAGACCATTTACGGATTAGCACAAATGCACAGTAGCACAAATGGAGCCATCTCGAAAAAACATTCCTATTTTTCGCTTTGTAGATAAAACGTTGTACATCACACGTGCGTTTAAACATGACTACAAAACTCGTGTGATTAGAACGACTCGGTCTACGACCTCGTCGTTTTAATCTATCACAGTCGTTATTGTAATCATGTTCATAAACGCACTTGTAATGTAAATAACTATTACACCACTCCATTTTTGATTTAGATTAAAGCTTGAATGTAGAATAGCTACTGGATACTGATACAAGATGTCCTGTGGCGGCATAACGGGCTGCAAGACGGATGTCAATGCGTTGTCTCATGAGGGAGTGGAAAATTATTTTACACTACTTCGTGCTTATGTCCGTCGGAAGAATATATGTTAAGAAATGGTAATACATCAGTCCAATACGTTTTTTCAGGGAAAAAAGTTAATAAATCCGTTTTTTTTTTTAACTGAACTGTTGAGTTATTTACTGAACCGTTCGCACTGTTCATTCTTTTCTGAATCATACAGATGGAAAAGGACAGTTGACATAGCAGCTCAACAGGGGAGTCTGCTGAATACAGGAATTATAATTTCTGTTTACAATTCCAGACAGTGCCAGACACATCATTTGTTGCGTCATTTTTTTGCTGCTTTAAAATCAAATTTCTCAAATTTAGCTAACAGTTACAATCCGTTATGTGTTATGGCATATCAACCCCAAAAAAACTTAAATGATTATAAGCCGTCACAAAAAGAACAATTTTCAACCTTTTCTTATTTGATGTACGTAGAGACATTCAAATATACATAATATTAAGAGAATTTTGCAAAATAGAATTATTCTACGTGGTAAAGAGCAAAACTATTTAAAATTAATGTGCGTAATTTGTAATTTGGAGTAGTATTCACCTTTGTACCTGATGGATTGACCCCCGTCAAAGTTAGTCAACTTCATCACCGTCTTGCAGTCCTTTCTTTCCATTTATAACGTCTTGTATTTTTAAAAATGTTATCAATGTGTTTCCCATTAGTACCAGTGCAAGACGGTGTAAAATGATTTCTCACTCCTTCATAAAGGCCGTTTTACAGCTTGCAATTTTATCTGCAATATGCAAGAAACTTGAACGAGGGCATGCGCAGAAGTGCGTTAGTTGATTGGTTTTTGCAAGATTCTTGAAACTTGAATGGCATTGCATGCAATCGGTTTGGTGCCATTTTTCTTGAAGGTTTTCGTGCAAGCTGGGGAATTTTTAGCAATTATGATGCTTAAAGTTGCTGCTATTGCTTTCTTCTTTTTATATCGACTTATAATCACTTTTTTATTTTTGGAAAATGCAAACATCAACAACACAACATTAATAACAAAAAATTATGGTTAAGGTTAGAGAAGGAAACAAGTCAAATTGCAAGGTGTAAAACGATGTGCAAGAGATCTTGAATGCAATTTTTTTGCATGCAACAAATTGCGTTCAAGTTTTCTTGCAAGCTTTAAAACGGCCTTAAGACAACACATTGACCTCTGTCTTGCAGCCCATTATCCCTCCACAGGACATCTTGCATCAGTATCCAGTGGCTATTCTACATTCAAGCTTTAATCTAAATCAACAATGAAGTGGTGTAAAATGATATTTCACCCCTCTGAAAAATTGACAATTTCTATCTATCTTATCTTACAGCCCCAAAACCCCCATGAAAACGTCTTGCATGTGTTAATCCAATTTTGTTTGTGTACAAATCAACTCAATAAATAAATGCAAGACGGTGTATAATTATATATTTTCCTTGTTTATGACATTTTCTGAAAGATATTTTTCAGCGAAATCCCCCAGTCCCATCTATTTCCATGCACAAGTGCATTTCAGTACCATGTTAGCTAACTGATGATAACAACGCAAGACGGTGTAAAATGATTTGATGAAATAGGCCTCGTATCCCGTACTATCAGATCGCATACTGTCAATTTATCAGAAAGTGAAATAAGGGCGTTTTCTCGATTAAACTCAAATTAGATTCAGTAAGTCCTAAATTTATAGAAGCGAGGCCGTTACCATTTGCAATGAAGGAGAAGGTGGAGGAAGAACTGGAAAGGTTGCGTAGCTTGGGTTTCATTAAACCGGTTGATTTCAGTGAATGGGGAACCCCAATCGTCCCAGTTCTGAAGGCGAACGGGTCAATAAGGATTTGTTAGGACTTTAAATTGACGATAAATCCTCATATTGAAATAGATAAATACCCTCTTCCGAGGATCGAAGATCTTCTGGTTAAGTTGCAAGGTGGCAGTCACTTTACAAAGTTAGATTTATCTTCAGCGTACCAACAGGTTCTTTTAGATGAAAAATCTAAAGAAATAGTAACAGTCACGACGCATAAGGGGTTATTTAGATATACTCGAGCCCCTTTTGGCATTGCTAGCTTACCGGCAAAATTTCAAAAGATTATGGACTGTTTACTAAATGATATTGACGGAACTGTGGTGTTCCTGGACGATATCCTAATTACAGGTTCAGATCGTAATACTCATATTGAGTGTTTAACATAAGTTTTAAGCAGATTACAAGAGGCAGGTTTGAAGTTAGCATTGGATAAGTGTGCATTTTTCAAGTCCGAAATAGCATATTTGGGATTAAAAGTTAATAAGGATGGTGTGCACACCACGGAGGACAAAATAGAAGCCATTAAAAACGCGCCACCACCAGAAAATATTTCCAAATTAAAAGCTTTTTTGGGGTTAATTAATTTTTATGGAAAATTTGTTCCAAGATTGGCTACCATTCTGCATCCTCTTTATAATTTATTGAAAGCTAACGTTAGGTGGACTTGGGGTAATGAATGTGAAGGTTCATTCAACAGAGTAAAGGAGGTTTTAGCTTCTGCTGAGATTTTGGTACATTTCAATCCGGCTTTGTCGGACATTGTTGTTAAAGATCCGGGGAACTGGTATTGGAATTTCATAGCCAGGCCAGTATATATTTGACTCAACTAATTAATGTATTGTGTGCCCAATAAATAGGTTTAGTAAATCTAAGGGCTGTAGTTTCAATTCTAGTCCAACGGACATTACAGTTCCAAAATCGCCAGATGCCTCTGTATTATAACCTGAAGGAAAATAGTCAAGTCACGAATTTTCCCGGTTTGTTGGTGTCAACTAGCAGACCTTTGAAAATAAACTAAAGCTTAGGGTCGACAACTCGCGGACCTTTATAAAATATGTTAAAGCGACGCAACTCGCGGATTTTTATAAAATATGCTATAAGTTCCTCGACTCGCGGACCTTTAGCCAGGTTGTCTTGGATAGTTTATAAACTAACCAGCTATTTTAGTTTACTCAATAACTTCAAGTAAATTAGCTAAGACTCTTGGTTAGTTCGCAAACTATCTGTTATTAATTCGGGTTCGGAATTTTCTCAGGCGCTATGAACTCATGATTTTGTTTAAAAATTGGCAACAGATAAAATTTTCAAAAATTTCCGGAAATATTTCATGCACTAGTTATATTATTACTGGAAATTGCATTTCCTATCAAAATAGTCAATAGGTTGGTTAGTTTGTAAACTATCCAGCTAGTTTACGACATATCCAAGTTTGCATATTAGCTGTAACATAAATATTTAAAAGCTCTACCTAGAATGGAGCTGGGCAAAGCGCTCGATAAAAGTGTTTCGAACCCGTTGAAAAAGTAATTGCCAGCATAAAGCACCAAGCATTCTGGAAATTCTAAGTGCTTGTAATTGCTTGTAACTACCAATTACTGAGGAAAGTAATTGCATAATTTAATTACCAAGCACCAATTACTCGCAAAGTGCTTGAAATAATTGTTGATTACTTGAAAGTGCTTGCAAGCACTTTTTTCTCAAATAAATTACCAAGCACTTACATATTACTTTTTCCTCCCTAATTCAGCAACACGATAATTTCAAAACTAAACGAAAATAAAAACTATTATAATAAAATATCCAAACTAAGGTTTTTTCTCCTTAGCTTTTTGAGTGTTTGCAATCTAAATGAGTGGAAATGCGAAATTCAATTACCAATTACCAAGCACTGTACTTGAAGCACAATTGTGATCAGAGCACTTTTTCAAGGCAATTACTGCTCAGCTTTGCCAGAATGTGAATTATTGCAAAACGTCAATTATTAATAAAGGTTTCTTATGATACAAAATTTAAAAACACTTTGTAAAGAACTGAGTGAATTAAAATGAAATTATATACTCACCAATTATAATGGTTTCCTCTAAACAACTATAGAGATGACCAAATACAATCAACTTTGATAGATGAACGTCAATTGGTAACAAAGCCATAACTTTTCCCAAAAATGTTATATCTCCGTCGGCGTTTGACAAGATACCACGGCAAGTCTTCAATAAACCCCCAATCTCTTTTAACTGCCACAAGGTGGACTCTATATTTTTGAAGTTGGGTGGGTCAAGGGCCAATGCCAAAATTTGAGCAGGTGTTTCATTCAGATCGAGCATTTTTGTCTGGAGCACAATTCGGTCTAATGGTGCTCGTAAAATTTCTGGTTCACCCATCGGGACCATACATTCATTATAAAATTGATTCGAGACAAGCCTATAAACTCGTCCGTCGCATGTTCGTCCCACTCTGCCTGCTCTTTGATCGCAATTTACATGGGATGCCCAGTCCAGTTTTAGGCTTGCGTATTTTGTTATCGGATCAACGGTCAGCACTTTCGTTAGGCAAAAATCGATTACTAGAAAAAAAAAAGTTTCATTAAAAATCAACAATTTTTATAAAAAAAACCTATACATTGTTTACCCTATTTTCAGGCTTTGCCCGAGTATTTGATTCCACATGTTTCTATTGCAATTTTGTACAGGGTGACTCAGAGTAAATTTCCCTTTTCGAACGCGTCCTGTACATCCAACTTAATATTTGTGGAGGGGTTAGCGCTGGCAATTTACGGCAACTGCATGCGGATTAACAGTAAACATGGAGCAGTGGTCGAACAAGAAACGCGCATTTAGTGTCGAGGCGTTTTTTAAATCAAACGATTCCTATGTCACGACACGGCGACGTTTATGTAACCGTTACAATATTCGGCATATACGTGATACTCCGTCAAAAGATTTATTGAAATTAGGGGTTCAAAGATTCAAACAAAGTGGTCCAATGGCAAATCCGAAGCGTCCCGGCCAACAGAAGTCCATCAGAAAGCCAGAGAACATTGGGACTGTGCAACGTGCTGCGCCTGAAAATCCGAGGCGCTCAATTCGAAAATATGGCGGGACGCTTCTGATTTGTCATTTGCTACTGTACCACTTTGAATCTTTGAACCCACGATTTCAATACATTTTTTGACGTAGCGTCACGTATACGCCGGATATGGTTACAGTTACAAAAACGTCGCCGTGCCGCGACAAAAGAATCATTCGATTTAAAAAACGCCACAAACATAAACGCGCGTTGCTCGTTCGACCACTGCTCCATATTCACTGATAATCCGCACGCAGTCGCCGCATATTGCCAACGCTAACCTCCCCACAAATATTAAGTTGGATGTACAGGGTGCTGCAATTTGGAGTGTTTCAACAGTACTTCCAGACCAGATGGAGGAAAATTGACTTAGATGTCATGGGATCGATTTTCGAGAAACGTCAATTGTCAAAAACCGTATCGCGATATCTTCAATGATACCATTAATACAGGGCGATTTTTGATTTTCCCCTATTATGAAAAATGGCTATAAGTTTTTTATTTATCATTTTTTTTCATTTCTGTAAAAACATTATGGAGACACTTTTTTGAGCACAATCCAGTGGCGGACTCGATTTTTTTCGATATCGCTCCGATTTCGAGATATCGACCAAATTTCGATATTTTCAAATGAAACTCCCTATATATTAATAGCTCATTGGATAGCTCCGTTTTTGCTGATTTTAATGATATAAAGTTCGATAGGTTTATCTCTAATAGTTTTCGAGAAAAAAAATTATATTTGTTTTTGTCGTAAGGACCAATGTGTTAGAAAAGGATTTTATATGTGTAAGGGAAGTGAGAAAGGTCTCTTTCTAACACATTGTTTCTTATGACTGAAACCGATATTTTTTTTTTGAAAGATAAACCTATCGAACTCTATATCATTGAAATCAGCAAAAACAGAGCTATCCAATGAGCTATTAATATAAAGGATGTTTCATTTGAAAATATCGGAATTTGGTCGATATCTCGAAATCGGAGCGATATAGAAAAAAACCGAGTCCGCCACTGGATTGGGCTCAAAAAAGTGTCTCCATAATGTTTTTACAGAAATGGAAAAAATTGATAAATAAAAAACTTATACCCATTTTTCATAATAGGGGAAAATCGAAAATCGCCCTGTATTAATAGTACCATTGAAGATATCGCGATACGGTTTTTGACAATCGACGTTTCTCGAAAATCGATCCCATGACATCTAAGTCAATTTTCCTCTATCTGGTCTGGAAGTGTGTTTTTCCTGTTAAAACACTCCAAATTGCAGCACCCTGTACAGGGCGCGTCTAAAAAGGGAAATTTACTCTGAGTCACCCTGTATTTGATTCGATATTTAAATAGATTTAATATTTTAAATGACAAGTTGTCGAACAGAGCATAAAACTGGCTCTGTCAGTAGGATAAGTAAACTTATAGTATACTGACGAGAGAGATTAAGAAAAATGTCGGGAGACCCGAGAGAAGAAGATCTTGCTATTGTTGAACAAACATTTGATATTACTCTTATTGCATCAAGTGCATTTTACAAAAAGGCACTAAGATTTCAAATACTATAATCATAATCTATATAAATGTAGAATTTGAGATTGAATTGCTTAATAATAAATGAGAAACTCACAATATAACTTTTAAGTAGAAAGGATATTCATAATGGAAATTACGGTACTGCGAGTTAATAACAAACACACCCAATGTCTAGACAGAAAACTTTCTTCCAATCTTACCAAAAGTTGTGTTGGGTACAGTAACTGAACTCTCTGCTATATTTGTCGACAAAATAATTTTTCTGTGTCCAGGTGGTGCCCTAATGAAAACTTTGGCTTGTTCATCATTTGGTAGGGATGAGTGCAAAGGTACTATTTCCCATTTTGATTTAGGTCTTCCGCCTCCGGCACTATCTGTGTGAGTTCTGGAATAAGGATCAAAATAAATACCATTTTGTGATAATAAATTTAAAATATGCAAATACTGACTTAGTCTGTTCTGCTACCAACAACCTGTGGGCCTCTTCGATTTCGTTGATACCAGGAAGAAAAACGAGCACATTGCCATTGGGTTTTTCCTGCTCTTCAGGAGTCTCTAGTTTATCAAATATTTTCACAAGAAATATGAACATGTTCCATACTTCGCTTGTTATTTCGGGTCGTGTTTTATCAAACTTGCCACTCTAAAACAAACAAAAAAATACGTGATCAATGAAAATGCTTATAAAAAAAAAGTGCTTCACGCGAGGTTTTACGCTTACTTTTACGAAAGCACTGTACTGATCCCAATAGAATATTGTTTTACCATACTGAGAAACTTCGTCTATATTTATAATTGGCGCCGGAATCGTTTCGGTGTCAACTTTTTTGCGGAAATAATAGGCGAATTGGTCTGCATCTATGGTGGCGGACATCAAAATAAGCTGGAAACCACAAAACATAGTTATTTGTTTTACTATGCAGAAAAGTACAAGATTTAATGCCGCGGCTGGTGTTTCATAGCCGAGGCTAGGAAACCAGCCAAGGCATTAAATCTGCTTTTCTGCCATGTAAAACATATAATTTTTTCTCAGAATGTTCAAATTCACACATGGACATCTTTTTTATATTTATTTTATTCATTATTATTATCCAAATAATTGAATTATTTTGACAATTGTCATTGTCACCATCAATTTCAAATACCAAATTGAGTGAAATTATTACCTGGAACGTTGTGACACTGTCACTTTTAATGCCTAGGCAGTAAAAGTCCACTTTTACTGCCTAGGCAGTAAAAATACAACTTTTGATCCTGTCAAGTGTCATTAAAAGGCCGCTTTTACTGTCATTCGGAGGAAAAAACTTTTATGTAGATATTTACATTTATTTTATAATTCTTAATTTTTTTGTATTGGAAGAAAATTGCTGACTTTTAAGCAGAGATACAATAGTCTAGGAAAATAGTCGAAAAATACGTGCATTGCAAAAAAAAAATCCTACCCAAATGAACTTTTCAGGGATGATAGGAGGCGGGTGGGTGATCATAAAACCGAAAATATCAAACATTCACCCCTCTGGCGTTTTGCGCTATAGGGGTTGAAAGTGCGTCATTGGCGATTACTTAGTACCTATTGATCTTACAAAAAAATGTTTCAAATAAAAGATGTGCAGCATTATTTGATCTACAATGTTTATCTAAAGACTTTTTTGATTAAGGGTGGTCTGTGGTCATAAGGGCCGTTTGAAATTTTATAATGAAAATGAAAAATTTTAACCAACGTGAAAAAATTTTCTACAACACATACAACATTTTTGCTTTATGAAGTTTTTACTCACCCCCTGCCGTTTTTCAATAGGGGTAGGTTAAAGTTTTTTTATTTTTTAACAAAAAAATTTTCTTAATAAAAGTTTTATAAGATTACATTTCCGACAATTTTTCCTTATCAACTTTTTTTGTAACTCACCCTCATTCTGCTAGGGGACACTTCCCTTAGGGAAATTTTAGTTTTTAGGCTGCCATTTTTTTATTTGTCTATCGATATTAACGAAACTTGGTGGGGTTGATATTCTAACCAAACGCCATTTTTATGCATTTATGACAAGTTTTCCTGACTTCCGGTTTCACCGGAAATGACCGGAACTTTTGATTTTTAAATGGCACACTCTGTATATTTTCTGTTTTTCGGATTTTACAGATCGTTTTACGTCCTAATGCACCACTTTTGAATCAAGTTTTGTCCAAATTTTGTTTTTAAATTAAATTTTTATTTTTTAACTAGAGTGCCATGATTATCCTAAAATGACTCTACATACTTCACTTAATTTCAGAAAAATACAAACTCAATTTTATCTTTGTAAATTTTTTTGATAGAGGGCTGTAAACTTCATTATTTTAGTATTTTTGCCCTAGCTCAAAAACTAGAATAGGAACATATGACATTCATAACATTACTAAATGCAGTATTTTGAAGCGAATCCAATGATATAATACACTATGACATTTTTCTTAATTTTTGTTCAAATATTTTTGTTTTATTATGTAGGTAGGTTATTTTTTTTTTTTCTATTTAAAATATAATTTGAAAACGAAATTTGGACAAAATTCGATTTAAAAGTGGTACATTAGGACGTAAAACGATCTGTAGAATCCAAAAAACAAAAAATATACAGGGTGTGCCATTTGAAAATCGAAAGTTTCGGTAATTTCCGGTGAAACCGGAAGTCAAAAAAACTTTTCGTGAATGCATAATAATGACGTTTCGTTAGAATATCAAGCCTACCAAGTTTCGTTGATATCGGTGAACAAATAAAAAAATGGCAGCCGGAAAGTAATCTCGTGGGCACCCGGTATATTAATTTTTTTTGCTTTTCTCGCCTTTAGTGCATATAAAAAGTTGCAATTAACATTGTATTAAAAGGATTTTTTTCCACCACCTTTTTGTTTTTAGGGGTAGTTCGCCTATTTTCAACTTTACAAAAAAAATTTATTAAGAAAACTTGTTCATTTTATTATTTTGAACAACTTTTCTTTGTAATTTTTTTTTGTAAAGTTGGAAATAGACGAACTACCCCTAAAAACAAAAAGGTGCTGAGAAAAAAATCCTTTCAATACAATATTAAGTGCAACCTTTTATGTGCACTAAAGGCGAGAAAAGAAAAAAAAAAGTAATATATACCCCTAAAAACTAAAATTTCCCTAAGGGAAGTTTCCCCCCGCTGAATGGGGGTGAGTTACAAAAAAAGTTGATAAGGAAAAATTGTAGGAAATGTAATCTTATAAAACTTTTATTGGGAAAATTTTTTTGTTAAAAAATAAAAAAACTTTAAAACTACCCCTATTGAAAAACGGCAGGGGGTGAGTAAAAACTGCATAAAGCAAAAATGTTGTAGAAATTTTTTTCACGTTGGTTAAAATTTTTCATTTTCATTATAAAATTTCAAACGGCCCTTATGACCACAGACGACCCTTAATCAAAAAAGTCTTTAAATAAACATTGTAGATCAAATAATGCTGCATATCTTTTATTTGAAACATTTTTTTGTAAAATCAATAGGTACCAAGTAATCGCCAATGGCGCAGTTTCAACCCCCATAGCGCAAAACGCCAGAGCGGTGAATGTGTGATATCTTCGGTTTTATGATCACCCACCCTCGCCCTATCATCCCTGAAAAATTCAATTGGGTAGGAATTTTTTTTTTTGAAAATCGACAATTTTCCTAGACTACAAGCCTAATTAGTCAAGAATACAGTTTTTACGAAATTATTACTTATAAACATAAATATACATGTCTCCAGCGCAAAACAAAGTAGACATCATCATACCACTCCAAGTTTCTACAATCATTATAAACAGTAGGTAAGTTTTGAAACTGAAATTTGAAATTCTCATTTTGCATTTGAAATCCAAATAGGATGGGCATAAAAATCAGCGTTTACTTCAATCTCCCTGAAAAGTTGCTTTCGATGATACAGGAATAGCAATTCGTGGTTTCATAAAGTCTCATTAGTGCGGCAGCTTAGCTAGGATATTTCAACATATTGTGCACTTTTTGATAAAGGCACCAAATTTGGCACAGAGGTAGACCGATGTAATATGAACAAATTTGGATATGGAGCCATCTGCCAGCTGCTCCCCGGCGGCGAGATTTCAGATTCTAGTGCACTTGTGAACGTATTTGTATTTGGCGGCTTGTGATTGGCTGCTTGATCCATAGGCTTGATCTGTCATTTCAGCCTCTATGATGTCAGCGCTTTTGTGAAGTTTTTTATGAGGTTATGTCGTTTTGTTTTTATTCAATTTGTTTGGCCGTTTTTGGCCTATCTTTGGTAATCATTTCTTAATGAATAATCAGCAAAATGAAAGATAACCAACTAATTAAATTCAATGTTGATATTGCAGAAACGTGCAAGGTTAAAGTAAGAGCTTTTATTGTAGTTTGTGTATTATTGCAATATTTAACATTTTAGTTATTGAATATACTACCTGACGTACTAACAGTCCTTACAAAACTGGATTTTGAAGAAAATCTATGTAATATTGAAAATCAGAAATTCATAGCAGAACTGCGAACAAATTATTCAGACAAATAGAGTCCTATAAATTTGATAGCAATATTTGAAGAACTTGGCTACACCAGCTACAACGTAGAGAGTCTTTAACGAAAATACCTTAAAAACTATTTTTTTCTACAAACGTGTTAAAAATGCAATTTTTAACACCCCCTCGAAGCATTAAAAATGTTACTTTATTGCACTAGTGTTAAAAGTCTTTAAGGCACTAGTGTTAAAAATGAAACATCAAAATTTGAAAGCAAACGTCAAAAAAAGTTTGTATTTTTAATTATTTACATTAATATTAATGGTAAAATTTGAACAACTGAGGAAGCTCCATCGGCCGCCTTCTCTATATTTTTCAAGGGATCGATGCAACCCTCTTTTTCTTGTGTATTTTGTTGCATTTTTAGCAAAAAGCTTACTGACCACGATAGACCATACGACAGACTTTCAAGAAACTGACATGACATTTTATTACCTGTAAAACAAGGTGCTGGTTGTTTGAATTTTTTGACAAATATCAAATTCAATAATTTTACGTAGGAAAGATGCTTCCAATTTATTATTCATTTAAAAATCCAATTTGTCACTGGTTATTGCTTGTTATTGCCGTTTGTAGAAAAAATATTGTATGATATTCGTGTTAAAAGTATTTTTAAGGCACTTATGTGAATTGCAGAATTCGCTTCGCTCATTCTGCAAACTTTCACATGCGTGCCTTAAAAATGTACTTTTAACACTTATATCATAAATAACTATTAAAGTAAGTAGTCTATACTCACACTACTTTTATTTGGTTTTGTTTTAAGTTTACTTGCTTAACTTTAGTTTTGTTATTTTCTTAAAAGAATCTCCGTTGCATGTTTTTTGAAATATCCTTGTATTTCTTTATAAAAAGTTTGATTTTTCAATGTTTACATATTACCGGGCCAACCAAAAGAGTCAAAACACCTCACTATAAACATGTTGATTGTCCAGCAAAACTAACCATTAATCCATGTATTCTTTCGCTCTGAACCAACTGATTGAAGTCACTTGAGGTTTGTTCTAAAAATTTGTCATTTGGTTTTAACTTCATTGGTTCTGTTTTTTTGACGCCTCATAAACAAACCTGATGTGATTACAATCAGTTTGTTCAGATCGAAAGAATACTTGTAATGTTAAGAATCCAAAAATGGAAAAGTAAGTTACAACATTACAACCATTGAGGTAGGTTACAACACAACACTGGCTGAGTTTGTTTGTGTCATCTTTTTCGTCGATTTGCTCCGAAATTTTGACAGGCACGTGACTGGATAACAACATCGTGTAGCATCGTTCGGTGTCGCTGCACAGTTTATCGCTCCTCTATTTATTCATATTAATTAAATAATAAGTGAAATAAAT